GAACAAATGTTAACTTCAACAATACCCTGTGACTGCAGTTCAATTACTCATTACCTACACACACATTATCCCGTCACGTTGTCACCCTCTTATATATATATATATCAGACTACCCTATATCTAGTAATCTCCCAACTATTCCCGAAGGTTCGAGAGGTGGCGTGACACTAGTCACGTGATCTCGCTGACGCAACAATATTATCTATGCACAAAGAAATCAAGGACAAATTCCCAAAATATTGTTATAGCTAATTGGGTTTGTTCTTCACAAAATGATTTTTTTTTAACAATATTTGAAGAAAAAGATGATAGATTTTGTTAGAACATCAAACTCTGGAAATTAATGCTATAAACTGTACCTGTATTGGTATGAAAAACTAATAATTTTTTGTCATAATCAGGTCAGATGACTCTGTATCTAATCCTTTTTGTTTTACAATTTTGTTATTGTTATTAATTTTGGTGCATTACACTTTGGCTTAAATTATTTGGTGTTAAATTTTGTGTACTCACATAATTTGGTTAAAAATTATGGTGCCAAGTTAAAACAAGAGAAAAATTATTTTGTGGTGATAACTGGTATAATCTTTATTGAATCTTAGATATTTTAGTGAATAATCATAGGGATACTTTATCTTGTCTGATAAATGGAATATCCTCAATGCATTTGGGTGCTATGGCCACAGACGTTATCTGTAATGAGTTTTAATGATGACAACAAGGACTTGTAATGTTTTTGATGTATATATATATATGTGTGTGTTCTGTAAGCTTCATTCCCACATTATGAGTTTCCATCAACAATACAAATTAGATACTTATGTCCTTACAAACTTATTATATGTAAACTAAATATCCATTTATTATATTAATGTTCAAATATATTTCAACAGGATCATCTAAGTGAACTGTATGTAGATTTAGTCCAGCAAATGCATCAAGTATTGCAGCAGGATATCTTTCCCCAATCTTCTCAGGTATATGTTGACTCTGAAAAGCTTCTTCAGTTTGCTCAGGAAGCTGTAACAGTGGGGGCGTACAGAGTGGCAGCTAGGTATCACCAACAGGTCAGTCAAAATTTACTTCTGTTATGAAGTTTTCTTGGACACTATAAAAATGTTATATATATATATATATGTGTAAACAGTCCTAAACTGTATTTGTAAAAAAAATATTTCACAAAGAAAAAGCAAAAAAAATTTGGGACGTTTTGGGTATGAATTCTCACATTCGCATCCCTGACATGGAGTCTCCTAATGCTCCTGTTCTGCCACCTCTGGAGTCTAGCATTGCTTTGCATTGGGGGAGGTCCTTTTTCCACAGAGGATGTCCAATCCCTTATACTAAGAGAGGTGGAGTCTTACATGAGGTCTGATGTTTCTTCTCCTGTTGGCTCAGAGACTGAGCTTGTGAGAATTTAGACTCTTATTTTTCTGGCTCCTTCCTCTATTCAGACAATTAATCATGAGCATCATATGGGCATTCCACCTCCTGCACCATTTTTTGAAACTAGTACATCAAGTTTGTAATGTCTTGAGCATTTCTCCTGTTGCTTATAGCTCTTCTCCTTCTTTGTTTGGGGGAAATTCATTTGGCTGACTACCTAGTCTTTCCACCTTTGCCAGACATTGTTGTGCATGCTCAGAGATTTGCTAATCAATTGAGAGAGGGTGCTGAAATGCCTTGTCCTCCCCATTTATCAGATAAGCATGCATTAGCTTTCCATAGCTTAGAGGACAAATATTTAGATTCTCAGAAATTAGATCCTCTTGTTCCTGTTTAGGGTTTTAAGCTTGATGTCGCTATTCATCTAAACCTAACTCAGATTTCCTGGATTCGTCTGTCCCTTACAACAGTTTTTCATTTCTTATTTTCTTTGCAACTGTTCTCTAAGACCTACCACGGGTCTCCTGCTCAATTTTCAGATGATCTTAGTCATTTATTGGCTCTACTTTGGTAAGATTAGTGGCTTCTGCTCTCTCCTTGGTCACTTGGTTGCTTTTTTGCTGGGATCTTTTTGGACAGAGATGCCTTGCTTGAGAGATTTCAATTTCCTTCTTTGGCCCTTCAAGATCTCAGAGAAGCTCTTTTTCTCAGACATTCGATTTTTGCAGGTATTCCAGATTCCATGGAATCTCAGGTGAATGTGGCCTGTCTCCAATCTTTTCTTTTGACACTGGCATCTTGCGTTTCCTGGTATTCTACTTGATAGTTTCCTGCATATCCTATTCGTGTTTCCAGACCTCCTGCATTGACTCCACATTCTATCAGAACACAAGGGAGACTTTGCCCTTATCAGTGGGCATCCTCTGCTTGTGTGGAGCAACAGCATTGGTGTCTACTCTATGGGGTCTGGTCCTGTGGAGCTTGACTCAGATGGTTCGTGTTTGTATGGGAGACCTTTGACACTGATCAGTGAGGCATTCAGGTTCTTATGAGAAGATTGGTCCTTCATTTCACTTCTCCTCCTCCATTGTCTATCCTACTGGTTGTCTTTCCCCTCCCCAAGGATCGTCTTACACCCAGTCATCAAATACAAGCCATCCAGGATCTTCTGCACAAAGAGGTTGTTGAGTGTGTCAACTCCTCTCTTGAGGGTTTTTAATTTCTGTTTATTTATAGTACTAAAGAAGGTGAGCAATTAGCGACCTGTCATCTTCCTTTCTCATTTCAATCATTTCCTCCAGCCTCCTCGGTTTACCATGGCGTCATATCTTTTCCTACATTGGCACTTTGAACCCAGTCTATGGATGACAGTTTGATGTCGCCAATGCCTATCTTCACATTCTGATAGCAGAGTCTTCAACTCATTATATCCCTTTTTCAGTTTCATGTCCAACCAATCTACCCCACATTTGCCCCCCAATGGCACAGCAGTATGTCTGCGGACTTACAACTCTAGAAACTGGGTTTCGATACCCGTGGTTAGCAGAGCACAGATAGCCCATTATGTAACTTTGTGCTTAACTTCAAACAAACAAACAAAACATTAGTCATTGACACTCACCATTATATGTTTGGCTTCTTCTCGCTCCTTCCTGCTGCTTCTCAAAGTTTCACACTCGAACTCTTTTATCCAGAGCTGCAAGAGCTGGGTTTCTCATCAAAACAGAGAAATCTATTCTTACTCCCACATAGTAACTTGTACATTCAGGGTTATTTTTCAATTCACATTTCAGTTGACCCAACCTTCTCCTCTACACCTTCAGGCCATGGAGGAGATGGGTATCCTTGGAGTCACTCATTCCTTTGGGTCGGGCCCACATGCTTTCCCTTCAGTGGTCATTATGGTACCAATGAAACATTTGCACAAATCCACTGGATTGTTTGTTTACCCTATTGGCTTCCAGCCTGGTCGATCTTGGATGGTGGTTTTGAACAGGGACAACACAACAGTGGGTGTTCCTCTCCCACCCCATGTCCAGTGATACATCTTTTCATGGATGCTTCTCTCCAGTAATGGGGGGCTTGTGTAGGGCCTCTGGATAGAAGAGGGATCTTCTCTCCACATCAATCTTTTAGAGCTTCTAGCAGTTCAGCGAGCTATGTCTCTGGCTCTCGAATTGTTGTGAGGAAAGGTGATAATGCTTCACTCAAACAATTCCACTGTGATCTCCTAAATTTCCAAGCAAGGAGGCATTCACTCCAGGTTTCTTTGTTTTCAAACATTGGATCTTATCTTTTGGACTCACGATCATCAGATTGTTCTCCTTGCTTGTCATGTCCCAGGTGTTATGAATTTAGTGGCAGATCAGTTATCTCATCCCAACAGAGTTCTTCACAGAGTGAATGTTTCATCCACAAGTCTTTCATTGGATCTGCTCTCATCTTGGGATGCCTCAGATCGGTACTTTTGCCACTCACTGGAATGCCCAACTCCCATCCTTTGGTCTCCTGTCACTCATTCTCTGGCTTTGTGTATAGATGTTCTCAGCCAGGATTGGACAGGTTTTCATTTTACACGTTCCCTCAGATTCGTTTACTATCCAAGGCTCTTACACTGATTTGCTCCTCATCCTGTCAATTTCTTCTGGTGGCACCATATTGGCTGGGTCAGCCTTGGTTTCCACTCCTTCAATATCTTCAGGAGTGCCAACCTCTTCTGCTTTCTCTCTGGCCATCCCTCTTACCTCAGCCTCAGTTGAACATTCCTCATCCTTTGATCACCATTCTCTGGCTTCACTGGCTTTTATGAGGTCTGTTGCATGACATCAGGGATTGACCTATTGGGTGGCATCTTTATTAATACAGTCCACTTGAAATTCTTCGTTAGATGTTTATAAACAGAAATGGTATACTTATTGTCAGTGGTCTCTAAGACATGGTTTTGGTCCATCTCATCTCACTGTGCCACATGTTTCTCAATTTCTTACCTAGTTATTTGACAAAGGCTTGGTGCCTTCTCTGTATAAAGCAGCTTTGTCACCTACTTTTCATTTTGCTAGGAGTCATAAAGCTTTTGGGTCCTTGGTTTTGTCCTTGCTTCTGAAATCTTTTCAGATTATCCATCCTTGATGCCCTTTCCAGATTCCTAATTGGGATATCTTGGTGGTTCTCCATGTATTATCTCATCCACCCCTTGAACTTTGACATCATGTTCCCTATATCACCTTTCACTTAAGACTTATTTTCTTCTCTGGTTGGCTAGGGGATATCGATGTTCAAATGTGTTTGAGATTCATGTTTCCAGGACTCATTACCATTACAATTAGATTCTATTGTATCCCAATAGGTCTTTTCTTGTCAAAACTTCAGCAGCTAAAGAAGGGGATAAGGCTTTCTCTTCGATGTTATGTTGCACGTACTAAACGGTTTCAGGGTTCATGTCACCATTTGTTTATCCATTGGGATCCTAAGGTGTCACATGACTAATCCCCTTTCATTTTGACAGGTTGGGTTTGTTAGTTGGTGCGTATTGCTTACTGTGCTTACATATCATGAGGTCCCTGGTGGCTTGGTAATGTCGCTCACTGGAGGAGATTGTACAGGCTGGTATGTGGACTCGCCTAATACATTTATATCTCATTATTTACATGATTTGGAGTTTGTAAGAGAGGTGAGTGACTTCATTTCTTTAATGTTCATTTCTATTCTTTTTTCAGGGACCCTCTCATCATTTTCATTTGGATCTCACTCTGTGTTGGGTGTTGCTTGGTCAGGTATGATTATTTCCAAATCCACACTAGCTACCATTCTACCAATAAAAAATTTTCCTGATAGCAACAAGCTCTGATGAGATGGGGTGTTCCATAGGACCACCTTATGCACTTTCCAGGAGGTAAACAATTATAAATCTATGAATAATATATTATTGGACCACCACTCATGGACTATCCATGCTGACCCCTGGATTGAATAAATCGGGGTCAATATGCTTTTCCAAATAGGGAACGTGGCTCACCTATTGCACTATCTTTGGAGCATTGTTCCTCAGGTCTCCCTAGTTCCATGGAAGTTCTTACCACTCCCAGTTTCCAATTGCTAGAGTGGTGGACAGAGATCTATTACTCCTGAGAGATGCGTGAACTCATTATTCCACTCAAGAAGAAGAGGTCAAAACTGGGTGCCCTCCTACCAGTAACCTTGGATGGTCCTCCTAGATGTATGGTAGGAGCAGGACCAGCCTATATGGGTATCTCCTCATAATTCCGGCTCAGAGATGACTCTTCACTATCCAGTTGCATTGTACTTGGCCCTTCTTTTTGGTAATTATCTTCATTTCGTTGATCATGCTTGAACATAGTTTATTCTACATCCTCCTCATAATTCAGGGAGCAGGAGGTATTGCCTTACCTCTCAGGTTGGGAATTTAGGATTGCTGTTCATAATCCCAGGATGGACAATCTCTGTTTCTTCAAGCTGAGTGAGATGTGAAAAGTTCCATAATTCAGAGTTCGATTTGTTGAATTTTGTGCTTCTTCGGGTTGGAGCGAGGGTTTGTAGATCATACCCTCACTGGACTCTCCACCTTGTCAATGTTGGATTCCAGCTAAAGTGTGAGAAAAGGTAAGTGTGTTTTGGAAGTTAACATTTTCCTATACCAAAAAATGTATTTCCAATAATTCTT